GTAGCAGAGAAACACACAGAGGGCCAGAAAAAGAATATGTTTGTCTAAGATATCTGTGGCTGAACAAGCCCAAACCGTAGTCCAGCCATAGAATTGAAGAAAGGAAAAAAGAAAGAGAGAGAGAGGGATGGAGGGAGGGAAAAAGAGAGGGAGGGAGGACAGGAGGGAGGGAGGAAGGAAACAAGGGTGAGTGAACACTTCATGGCCCTGCCTTGGAAATCAACATGTTTGAACATAGCTCTCAGGAGATGTACTGAACATGCCTCACCATCTTTCCACCTGCAGCTCGTCACCTGCTGAATCTGAGAGCATATTCCCCTGAGACAGGGTTTTAATCAACCTTTCTTTGATATCTCTAACCCTAAGGCTTTCTAGGACTTGAACTTCTATTTCTACAAATTCCCTTTGGGCAATATTCTCTTGGTTAGTTTCTTAGATCCTAATTTTTTATCCAAACTCATGTCAACATGAGATTTTTGGTCATTTTCACCATATTTTCAGCCCAAAAGCCTTCATTCAGGGCTAAGGTGATGGCCAGTGTTTCAACTGTATAGCTCACCATCACATCTCTCCAGACAATCTAAATTCTTGCATTTCTGCCGTTGATTTCTGCCTCTTGACCAAAGGAAATCTGCATTGCTTCACTTAATTTTTAAATTTCTAGATACTTCAGTTTCCTCATTGGTAATGGGGATAGTAAAAGTCCCTATCTCTTAAACAAATTAGTAGATGTAAGTGTCTGGTGTTTGTATGTAGCATGTAATAAGCACTTAACAGCTGTTAGTTCTCATTGTTATTATTCTCACAGTGTTTCTTGAGATACAAGGACAGAGAATGTGTCTTAAATTCTTTTTTTTATTTATGTGGATATAGATGAATTTGGATTAATGTAAGGGTAAAGAAAATGAAATCTAGGATGAACCCAGGTTAACCATCAAAGGCTTGGTAAGTGCAAGGCTATGGGTTGTATGTTTTTCTTTCTGCATTAGGCTCTTGAAAAGTTATGGTAAAATGGAATTTTTGAAAAGCACTATTATATACAATGCAACTTTTCAGCAGCATCTGTTTACATATTTTTCTATTTTCTCAGTGAGAAAGAGAGGCAGACATAAAACCCAAACTCTGAGAAATGGAGCATCATGGAAAATAGGCAACCCAAAAGGTAAAAAGATACCTTTTCAATAACTAAACATCTAAATTCTCATGCTTTCTTCGGTGCCTATTTCCGTAATTGCTTTATGTAGCTGTACTGCCTGTTGATAAATATATCATATTTAGTCAATTTCCAAAACATGACAGGGAGAGAAAGTTCATAATATCACAAACAAGTAACTTGGTGATGAATCTGCAACCAGTACCCAGTACCCAGGGCCACTGCAGTGCTCCCTCTGCTGAACTGATAACTTCCAAGGCTGGAAATAGTCGTAGCCATAAAACAGTGTGTAACTCATGAGTGACTTAACAGTCCTTCCTCTTATCCCACCCCCTGAGGTAAGCATGTGGACTTGGGTCTGTTGCTTCACCTCTTCTGTAGTTTACTCCTCTGTAAAGTGAAGTAAACTGAGATTATAAATAATAATAAATAAACTGATTGCCCTCCAAGGTCCATCCCAGCTTCATATACAGCTTCACGTCCTGTGGATCTCCCACTGGACTCAGGAAGGCCCGTGGACAGCTCTCACTTCTGCATTGTGAACGGGGAGCCCAAGGAGTGTCTTTAATGGATTCCCAAAATCTGTAATGGATTCCCAGTGTTGCTGTCTGGAAGGGCAGGAACAGCAGCTCATGATTCTGACATTCACTTTAAAACCTTTAGATCTGTTTCTATGGAGTCAGGTTCTCAGTTCCTCGCCCTCCCATCACCATGTAGAAGTTCTAAGATGCAAAGCCTCCTCCATGTGCAATTTGCAGATGACTCTAGAACTCCGCTGAGCTTTCTTTTCAGCCAGGAGAAAGCTGCTGTGAAGGAGAAATGAAGCAAGCAGATAAGACAGACACCATCTCCTGATAGGCTGCTCCATTGTGATCCTGCTCGCTGCTCAGCCAGTCCCTGGCCCAAATCGATAGTCAAATTTGTCAAATTATAGACAAATTACAGTCTAAAATTCTTTCTTGGGACACATAATTGGAAAAAAAAGATTTGACTAGAAATTTCCCACTAGTATAGCAAAAGCAATATATTTTACCACCTCTTGGTAGTTGATGATGGCCAACTTGCTTGGGAATTATGACATTGGATGGTCCTTCTGGAAGGTCCGCATCCCTGCTGCAGTTACCTCGTCACTCCAGGTGGTTCTCTTGGGCAGAGTGTCTCTCAAGAACATCCAGTTCAGCTCTCATCCGCAGGGCCTCCACCAGGCCATGGAAACCATGCTTCTTCATTGATTCCCTTGCTGGTTCCTGGCTCAGTCCTACATCCCACCACAAAACAGCCTAGCCATGACCTTCACCGTTACATTTCTTGGGGACGAGTCTGATAGTTTCTCCTTCTCTGACATTGCCAAGGACAGAGGTCTATCTCCTGTGTGGATCGTTTAACACTTTCTCTCTTGGCTTGAGGGGAGGTGTCTGACAATTCTTTCCAAAGAAAGGTAGCCTCTCTCATAAGGCCTGGAGGTGGGGAAGGCCTATCCTGGCAGAAGCAGCCTCACTACCCGCCCCATGTTCTCTATAGCAGGATTAGACCAGCACCTTACTTTGGATATAGGCATACTGGGCCCCTATTGCATTGTTCTGGGATGTTGATGACTCTGCTGATACTCTGAGGCAAACAAAAAGCCACCTAAACGTTCTGATAGCGCTTTTTTGCCCATACTGATTTGTCCCAACTATTAGGAAAATTATTTTTAAATGACTTAATTTTTCTGACCACATTATTATTTACAAGGGTTAACATGGGGTTTTAGTGTTATTAGGTGGTTATTAAGATGGTAGAACCAAGAATGGTTAAATCCTACTTTGTCCAGGCATTTTACTTCTTGGACGTAAGATAACAACAAGGTGCTAGAACAAGCAAACACACAAGAACCATTGTGAAGCAAAGCTCAGCAACACTTTGATACCTGTGATCTAGTCTTCAGCCCAAATTTCTCTGTGCTGAGAACTGGGCTGGAGCACAATGAGCTTCTGTTTGTTTGCCCTGAAGTCATTTCTCTGCAATAAGTTTTGATGAAAGTGGAGTCTAGCTCACACACTTGTCCCAGAAGGATTTGAAGAGAGAGAAACTGAGAGCAAGAGAGTGTATATTTGCCAATAATGGCTACTGCTGAATGAACTCAGTTTATAGCCGGGGCTGGGGTTTCAATTTGGTCATCTTAGGGGGAAGGAGAGGATAGACAGAGCAAGGAGAAAGCAGAGAGCACACGGGTGTCTTCGCATGGGACAGTAGGCCTTGACCCTTGCAGGAAAAGAGAGAGAGAGAGAACGAAAGAGAGAATCAGAACTGGCCAATTTTCCTATCACTCAGCATCATGAGTGACAGGAGAGGATTGAGCCACAGAGAGCCACACCTGTGTGGATGACCTTTTACACCTGGCAACCATACCAACCTCTATATTTGACACAATCACGTTCTTGTAATTGATCAATCTAGAGCAATTTTTTGAGAAAACTTCATCTACTTATGATTCTTTTATGCAGGGTTAACAATCTCTCCTTTCAATGTACCTCCATAATATCTTGATAAACTTCTTAAAGGCAACACCTTATAAAGTAGAACATGCTTGATCTTGGGATGTGATTCCTCTTGGGAGGGAATCATCAATAAATGTCTCATTTTTATCTTGATGAGGTTAAAAAAAAATACCTTTTGAGTAATTATTATGGCAAAGACCCAGAAAATGAAATAACATCACCAACTTGAAAACTCTTTGTACTTGATTGAAGGAAAGATTCCTTTCCAGCCTCACCTGATCATAATCTGCTTAAAGAAAAGATCAGTCATGACTGAGCACCTGAGGAGATTTTCTTCTGAGACCTGCACTACCGAAATTAGCACCCCAGGATGCCAGCCGTGGGCCCAGAACGATGAGCACAGACCTTTAGAAAGAAAGACCACCCACTGTATGTTCCCGACTTCAACATTCAAACACCTTTGAATGACGGCAGACCTAAACATGCAGATGGACATGACTCGCTCTTTTTTTGGGCGCAATCAACACATAAATCAGATGCTACAACCTTCTGAGACATCTTTGTGTCAACACTTTGTGTTATCTCTAACCCTACAACTTTTAGAACTCGGGCATCAGTTTCTATAAGTTCTCCTTCGTTGGGTTAGTTTTGAAGTCCTTGCTCATTTTTGCCACCATCTTCAGTACAAAAATCTACTTTCAAATTTAGGTTTGTGGCAGCTATCTGATCAGTATAATCCGCCACGAGGTCTCCCTTGAGACCTTATATTATTGCCTTTTATCTCTGTCTCTTTATCAAAGGAAATCTTCAATACTTTTATTTAATTTGTATTTTTATCTGTGTACACCGATTTCCTCATCTGTAAAACGAAGGTAGTATTAGTCCCTATTTAATAAATTTGTTCTAAGGATGAAGTAAGTTAATAGAGGCAAGGTCTAAGGATGGTTCCTGGCATATAATGAGCACTCAACAGATGTCCAATTTCATTCTTCTTCTCACCCTGTTGCTTGGGAAATACATAAAACACTGTTTCATATTTATTTGAAGTGATTTGGAGATATTAGTAAAAGAAATACAGGATGAATCTCAGTTAAGTATCATTTTTGTAACTAGTCTAGGCCAGGGTTCAGCAAACTATGGCCCGCGGGGCAAATCCCAGCCCACTGAGTGTTTTGTAAATAAAGTTTTATTAGAACACAGCCACAGCCACATCTTTCCATTTACATACTGTCTATGGATGTTTTCACAATGCAACAGCAGAGTTAAGTAGTCACAAGAGAGATTACAGACCTTAAATAATTACTATCTGGCCCTCTCCAGAAAAAGTTCCTAACTCCTGATTTAGGCATTCGATATTTTTCTTGAAGTACTAGACAGGCTCCTGAAAAGTCACTTTTGAATGGTGGTTTTGTAAAACACTACTGTTTACAATGCAATGTTATAAACAAGAGACATTTATGTTATTTTTCTACTTTCTCAGGGAGAAAAACAGTCATCACTGGGCCTTTGAAAAGACGCAGAAAAAGAGGTAAAAAGAAGTGATTAATATACTTTTAATAATTAAGCATCTAAATTTTTATTTTATAATCTGTGTTTTGAGTGATCAATCAATTTTCTTAATTGGCTTATAGAGCCAGTAACAAATATAAGGATATTCATTGGCCTTGGTCAACTTCAACAACATGACAGGATGGTGATAACACCCACTCCATTGATTAGCCAATTATCTGGGAGAGACCCCAGGCCTCCTTGGGCCTGTGCAGGGCTCCCTTCACTGCACTGATAACTTTTGAGGAGGAAAATATAAAGAAAAAATATAAAGTGTGTGACTCACATGATATTTAGCTGACCCTTCTCTTGCTCATATAGAAAGCCACAGAATGCCCACAAGGGTGACCCTGGGTAGTAATATAAGACCTGAATCCTAATTCCTAAACTTCCTTTGATTGTGTGACTTTGGCTTGTCATTTAATCTTTTTTGCCACCATTTCCCCATCTGTGAATGGGTGGGTGGCAGGTGAATTAGACTGAGTGGCCTCCTAGGCCCCCGCCCAGCTCTTATGGTCTATGTATCTCTGAACTGACTCTGGAAGGACCATGGACAGCCCATCTCCCTGTCTCAGAGAGAAGCCCCACATGGATCCCCCTCAATGTTGGCCAGAAGGGCAGGAGCACACGCTCCTGCTACTGAAGTTAATTGTAAGACTTTCAACACCTGCTTCAACGGAATCAGATCCCAGTGCCCCCACCCAAAGGTGCAGAGGCCCTCTTCCTGAGCAATTTTCAGTTTCTTCTAGAGCACCCCACACTCTGAGTTTCCTATTTAGCCACAGAGAAAGCTCACATGAGGGAGAAGTAAAACAAAGCAGAGAGCAAGGAAGGAAGACAGACACTGCCCTTGCTAGGTGCCCCATTGCAATCCTGCTTTCTGTTCCCACAGCTGATGCCTCCAATGAGGAGACAAAGCTTAAATTTGACGGGGTTTTTCTCCATCTACATAACTTCAAAGCAATAATATGACTAGAAATCTCCCTTCAAAACATCAGGAGGAAAATCATTGTGCAATAGGCAGTTCTGGCCATGAAGCACGGGAATTCAGATCCTTCCACCTGAGGCTTTTACGCAGGATTTTAGAGGACAGGAGCGGAGAATATTTTCTTCATTTATCTAATATGCCATAAAAGAAAGACCTAGAAATATAGCTAATTCATGGGTAAAATCCCTCAAATACACTCTAAGTTCTAAAAGAAGGATCTCAAGATGGGTGAGGAGAGACAGAGTACAGCTGTAGAGAAAGATGGAATGAAAAAAATAATGCTTCCTTGCAGGTCCAAGAATTCCCAGAGACAAAAAGATGAATTTTCGACCTCCTGAACTTCCCGTGACCTGTGGTGAGGTGAAGGGGACTTTATATAAGGAGAAAATGAAACAAGGTGGGTTTCATGGTCTTCTATGCTTTTCAACTAGAAAATACTCATGTGACTCATATATTGTTCAGGGGGTAAACACCTGTGTTGGGGGTCTCGAAACCATCCTCAGGTTTGGTGATTCACTAGGAGGACTCATAGGACTCAGCATATAATCGGATTCCTGGCCGTGGTTTATTAAATTGAAAGAATACAAAGCAAAATCAGCAAAGGAAAAGGCACATGGACAAGGTCCAAAGGAAACTAGGTACCAATTTCCAAGAGTCCTCTCCCAGTGGAGTCACACAGGATACACTTAATTTTCCAGCAACAAATTGTAACAACATGTGTGAAATGTTGTCCCCCAGGGAAGCTGCCCTGAGCCTAGGAGTCCAGGGTCTTTATCAGGGGTTAGCTATGTAGGTACCCTCTGCCTAGCACATGCCAAAATTCCAGATTCCCAGAAGGAACACAGTGTTCAGCATAAATCATATTGTTTGTATCAACAGTTTAGGCGCAGTGAGCCACTCTTTTAAGTTCTGGCAAAGGTGGGACCCTTTGCAAAATCCAGTTCCTAGATGCCAGACAAGGGCCAAACTTGCAAGCAGACCTTGCTAAAGATAGCAGTCTCAGGACTGCTCTGTTAGCTCGTTTCTGCACAGCGTCCCAGATAGGCTGGAGGAAAGATGGCATTTCCACACTTTTAAAAATTTATGAACATTAGCCTAACAGGCCATCTCCACTTTCCCCCAAGGGAAAGGTCCACAGCACACCCATCCAGCACCTAATACAAGAGCAAGTGCTTCAATATCAGGGTGGAAAATGGACACACTTGAGAAACCCAACAACAACCTTCACAGCCCCGTTCCCTATAACATCTGTACGGCCTTGTGCTAACCAGGAGGAGCACAGGATGCAGAATCAGAAGACCTGGATTCAAGTTTCAGCTATGCCAAGAGTGGCTGTTTTGTCTGGGCCAAGTTACTCGGTCTTTCTCATCCTGAACTTCCTCCTTTACAAAATGGGAATAATAATAAAACTTGCCTCACTGTATTTTTTTTTTTTTTTTTGAGGAAGATTTGCCCTGAGCTAACATCTGCTGCCAATCTTCCTCTATTTTGCATGTGAGCCACGCCTACAGCATGGCCACTGGCAGACAAGTAGTGTAGGTCCACGCCTGGGAACTGAACTCAGGCCACTGAAGCAGAGCACACCAAACTTAACCACTACGCCACTGGGGCTGGCCCGCCTCACCATATTATTATGAGAAAAAAAATGAGATAATAGATATAAAATACTTTGCAAATTATAATTGCTAAAATACAGTACAAATGTTCATCTGTCATGATTGATTCCCCCCTCCCAAAATATAGTTCTTTAGGCACCAACAAGGATAAATGTTTGCCCTATGACTATAATGCATATGTATAATTTAACTTTTCCCACTTGATAACATTTCTGTAATCACTTTTAACATAAAATAGCCATGAGCCCAAAATATGAGACATAATTGATTACCATTAGCTGGACAATCAACATTGTACAAGACGAGGGAGATGTGGCCATGGAGGCAGCTGCCATACAGCCTCCAGTGCCCTCATCTGCTGCCCCTGAAACTCAGCCTGGCTCTCTCTCAGGTCTCAGAGAAGGGAAGGGAAAGAATCCTGCTCATTCTTCTTTAGAGCTGTTCGTTGTTTATCTCTTTTGAACGTAGTAAAATGCTTTTTAAAAGTAAATGTTGGTGGTAATTGTTGCACGAAGGTCAAAGACGTGCGCACACACGGCAGGAAGTCCCCTTTCACCCTCGCCTTTCAGGCTGCTGTGGGGCCCCAGAGGGGGAACTCAGCTCTCCGGCTGCTGATTCTGAGCCCAAAACAGGTGGCCCAGATCCACGTGGTGGGAGGCCGAGTTCTGGGGTTTTCATAGTCAGGGATACTCCCTGGTGACGAAGGGAGCTCAGCTTGTCTTGATCTCACAGGAGTCTCGGAGAAGTGTATACAGAGTGAGGATGAAAGGTGGTTCACCCTCAGGGAATTTGAAGTTAAAGGAAACTACGGAGCATCCAAGAACTGGAGGCTGACTATACGCTGCGGCGGATGGCCCCTGAAAATCCTGATTGAGGTATTCTAGTGACAAAGGGCTGAAATCAAAGATTTAGTGTCACGATTCACCAACTCCAGGCTTTAGCAGAATTTCTCAGTGTCCAGAAAACCGTCATGACCCCCCTTGCCCAGGTCACAATGCATATGTTGTTACTAACATTCCACTCAGGTGTTATCTTGTCTGGCTTACATTACAGCTTAATCCTCTAAATGCATGAACTCTTATCCTTTTGAAGGTAGGACAGTAAATTATAGCCTTGATTCTGCCACTAATAATTGCCACTGTGTAATCTGGTCACAGGAAAGTAATTTAAATTGAGGAAAGAGGGTCTTAGATTTTGGGGGCCAATGTTTAAAGTAACAGAAGAACTATGATTCTGAAAATAATACGTCAGTATGCGTGTTTCCTAGATTACAGAATATTTCAATATTACTTCTTTTGATAACCATCTGAAATTCATTCTTGAAAGAGAATATAAATAAACTGCATTTTCAGATACCTCCTTTGGTCTTCATATCAACTCCCTGATGTGGACAAAATAGGCAAGGTCTTGGTTGCTGATGAACCCGTGCCTTCTGACTCTATCATACACCCCAGACAGCCCTTTCTTGCGCCACTCCAATGATCATGAGAAGCTGTTTGCTCAGCAAATATCCATTGAGATGTATGTAAAGCCACAAGGACTATAAGGTGTGAGCCCCAGTCTCTAACCAGGAGGAAGGCTGCACATTCATAACCACAGGACTGCACAGCGCATCAGTGCAGCAACGAGAGATGCTGGCAGAAAGAGATGCAGTAGCTTGAGGGAAGGAAGGTCATTTCTGGCTTTGAGGTTGAGGACAGTCTCATGGAACAGTTTGCACTGAGCTGGGTCTTAGAAGAATAGTTCTGACAAACAAAAATGCAGGAACAAGGTATTCTACATAGAAAGGATGGCATGAAAACCCTCTCCATGACTTGTTACAAAGTAGTAGGTAATAAAGTTCAATACACGGGCTGGGCTGATAGTAGAGGTCTTGAGGCCAGAGCAAGGAAGCTAAACCCTTCCTTTAATCATGGGAGATTTGAGTTAAGGACTGAGTGACATAGTTGAAATAGTATTTAAGAAGCATTAATCTGACTGGAAAATGCAAGATGGATTGGAGGGTGGAGGGCTTGAAGCCATGGAGACCTCAAATGACCTTCACTGCCTTTCTGCCTGATACACTGTCACTCAAATTACAAGGCCCATCTCAAATGGCACACTCTCTGAAGTCCTTTAAAACTCACTGTATTTGTTTCCTATTGCTGCTGTAACAACTTTCCACAAACTTAGTGGCTTAAAAAAAGTACAGGTCTATTATTTTATAGTTCTGGAGGCCAGAAGTCTGAAATCAGTTCTACTAGGCTCAAGTCAAGGTGCTGACAGAGTTGGTTCCTTCTGGAGCCTTCCAGGGAGAATCTGTTTCTTGCTGTTTTGTTTCTAAACACTGCCTGCATTCCTTGGCACATGGCCCCTTCCTCACATCACTCCCACTTCTTGTTCTATCATCACATCTCTTACTACTCACTCTGATCCTCCTGACTCCCTCTTATAAGGATCCTTATGATTACATTACATTGGGCCCACCCAGATAATCAGAATAATCTCCTCATTTCAAGGAGATTATTTAATTTAATTACATCTGTAAAATCCCTTTTACCACGTAAGTTAATGTATTCATAGGTCTGAGGATTAGGACGTGAACATCTTTGGGGGACCATTTTCAACCTACCACACTCATCCATCTCTAGATTCCAAAATACTCTTCAAGAGGACAGTTTACACTCTGTCATCCTCACCCATTACATGCCTGCTTTTTCCCTTTGTCTCCCCAAAGGTCTGGACACTTTTGTGTGCCCAAGGCCACTTAGGCCTGACACCTTCCAGTCACTCACCAGGTGTGTTCTAATGGAGTAGTTGTAGGATGTGAGGTATAAATACACAAGCTCCGGGGCACGGTGTGGGGTTGTGGGGAATGGAAAGGAAGCAGTGGGTGTAGATGAGGTTGTGAAGGAAAACCTGGCAAGACTTTATCAGGAGAGCAAGAGAGAGGGTGTTTTTTATAGAGCTGAGTCTGGATAACAGGGACCAGCATCTTACAGATTTGGAGAGAGAGGTTATTTTCCATGAAGATACCTTGACTTTGTGTTGACAATGGGCCATATCTGGTAGGAAGTTGGCAATACCAGGCTCACAAAAGAAAAACAAATATCCATCATAGCATTAATCTCATTTCTCTTTCAGAAAGGATTTCTACCAAACCCGCCACGAACAAGAAAAAAGGTGATTATTACATGACCTTCTGCCAATGGCTTATCTATTATGTTGTTGATTTTCCTCTCTTTGACCTTATTTTTAATAGTTTCTAAATTAACCAATTATGATTAAACTTGGTTTATAATATGGTGCACTTGCTGCTTTCAAACCTTACAGTGTAGGAGGCCGGGACTTCTTTGAGCATTAAAACGTTTGAGATAGAGGTGGGAATAATATTTAAAAATAGATAATGAAACAGAACTGGCCTTATATGTTTGTTTTAGAAAAAGATATACATGCCATAGTGTCTTAAAATTAAACACAAAAGTTGGGGCTGGAGTTGGAAAAGCATGATTTTGAAATACACAAAATGATACATTTAATGACTGTGGCCTTTGCAACACTGATTGTTTTTTCATTGGTTTTTCTGGGTTCTGGCTTTGTGTGTGTGTGTGTGTGTGTGTGTGTGTGTGTGTGTGTGAGGAAGATCAGCTCTGAGCTAACATCTATTGCCAATCCTCCTCCTTTTTTGTCCCCCAAAGCCCCAGTAGATAGTTGTATGTCATAGTTGCACATCCTTCTAGTTGCTGTATGTGGGACGTGGCCTCAGCATGGCCAGAGAAGCAGTGCGTCAGTGCGCGCCTGGGATCCAAACCCAGGCCGCCAGTAGCAGAGCGCGCACACTTAACCGCTAAGCCATGGGGCCAGCCCTGGGTTCTGGCTTTAATTAAATAAGAATGGAGCAAAAGTTTACCCAGAAATGTCCCATGGTCACTCCAGCCAACCTAATGTAGAGAATTCTCCCTTGGAATGGACAGATAGCCATATGTTACCCAGGGAAGCCAATAACCAAAAGCACATTCTCTCCTTTTCTTTTGTATATTTGCTTTCCTTCACATGCACACACACACACTCACACTAAGTCCTTCTTCAAGGGAAAATTTTTTTTTCCTTTATGGAGATGACACCTCAGAGAATAGAGAGGCTAGGAGGCAGATGTGCCCTGTGGGAGAGGCTGCTGACCTGGAAAATATTTTCCTTTGTGGAAGAAAGGCTCTTTGGCTCCATCAGAGGGGCTTTGCAGACCTCAGTTCCATCTATGAAGGTGAATTCTCTTTCCTTCGAAGTAGTATGTGGAGTTCATGGATCAGTGATTTCCATGCTGTGTGGATTCCAGGGAAGTTGGTGAGATAGTTGATGCCTTCCATGGTCTCTCCAAGACTGGATGTGAGAGAGAACCTGTGTGGTGAAGAAAGAGATGCAAGAATTTCCATTTTCCTAACCTCCAACATAGGTGACCTTGGCTGTCTCTGCCACACGATAAAGTCGTGGTCTTCACAAAGCTGGTTTCTGGGGCTACCTGCCCCGCTGACTTCATGCTAGAGACTCAGTAACTAGGTTCTGCATCCACTGGGTTTTCTGAAGAAAGAGATGTTATTTGATCTGTTCATTAAGACCAAACATCTCTACCCAGTCCTAGGGAGCCAAGGGTAACTCAGTATGTGTTAATTAATTGAGTTGGCCATCTCCCATCCCTTCATCACAGGCACCCTCTCGCTGTTCCCTCTAGGCTTACAGCTCTTAAGGTATCACGCCTCCGTTTTCAGAGGGTCTCTTCCTTCCCAGCCCCTTATCTTCTGTTGCTTGTGTCCCTCTCAGCGTCAAATGGCAGGTAGCAGGTGGTGCTGCTGGCAGCTTCCCTACTTGTAAGTTTCCTGTTAAACCCACTAGTGATAGCTGAGGTGCTCCAAGATAGTAAGATATAAAAGTCCAAGGTGATCATTTACTGGCTGCTAAAAAATCTCTTCTCTTGAGCGACAGCTGTGTTCATTTGTTCGTGCACACATCCATCCATTCAACAAACAGCTATGGGGCAACTATGAAGCACCAGGTGATGTGCTTGGCCAATGGCAATGCCAAGGAGGCCAAAATGATAGCCCCAAAGGATCGTTTCAACTTCATCTTCTAACATGGGAGAATAACTAATGGGGTTGGGTGGGGGATTCTAGGCTACTCAGAGAGGCCAGTGACATGGCCACCTCCCAGGTCATTATGCCTTGGAGCACACTGGGTGTTTTGTCAATGGCCTTTCTACCCCAGGCTGGAGATAAAAACTGAGGTGGTGGAATTCTCTGGGACACTTGCACGGCATCCAAGACTCTGGGCCCTGTGGTCACTGGAGGTGGTGGGTGATGAGTCCTCAGCCTGATTCTCTCACTGCAGCTCCAAATCCATCTGTGGACTTCAGGGCCATACTCCCTGCATGGCTTCACAAAGTCTTTCCTAGAGTCTGAGAGCCAGGGAATGGAACTTGCATTGGGCCAAACTGTCACTGACACATGATTTAATGCTTTTTTATTCTCTAATTAGATATACAGACCCATAAAAGCAGATATGAAACAAAGGGAGGGCTGTGGCATAAATCTCTTACATAAAGAAGTCTGCTCAAGTGTGTGGTTAGTGAAATATCATATTCAATATTGTCACTCAATCATTCTCTCTTTTCAGATGACAGTACCAGAGTCTCGTGACAATGCCTTAGTTGACCCTTATGTAAGTACTAACTCCCACCTGTACCCCAGAATAATCCAGGCCTTTTCCCTTGGTACATTGTCTGTGTCATTGCTGCTTTTCCCTGAAGCACACTCACACTCAGTGGGAACATGTTGCTGTGTGTGATGAGCAGAGAACAGCAGACGCATCACCTACGCCAGGTAGATGGTTCCGGGGTAGGGTATCTCAGGGTGAAAGCATCCTTTCCATTTGTTCAGTGGAAACCTTCCCATTTCCTCATTTCCCCTAAAAAGTGAGTATGGGAGACAGAGCTCTAGACCACTGAGGTCTCTAGAGATGGGGCTTGAAGTGGTAATGGGCAGAGCTGGCCTGCAGATTAGGGGTAAGGAGCAAATTTGAGAGGACAGCAGCATTTTAAAGAAGACAATAGGGAAAGGAAGGAAAATCCTAAACATCCACTCCAATGTGAAGGCAGGGCTAAGATGGTTTTAAGCATCAGCCAGAAGGAACAAGCCAGGCCAAGCTGGTGAGTTCAAGGTGCAGACCCTGTTATGAGTCCTGCAGAGAAATGTACGCAGGGCAAGTGGGTCCTTTATGAAACCTCTATAGCCCATCCTGGGGGAGACACCAAGGTGCTGAGCTGGTTAGGACTGAAATCATAACCATCTAGCAAATCACAGGCATTTTTACTCAGACTGCTTGGTGGGTGCTCAATAATGTGCAGACCATTCTGATCCCACAGGCTCTGTCCATTCTCTACTTGCCATATGACTGCTTGCTTTAAGGCCTGCTAAAATCATAGATGACTCCTCTTTCTAAGCTAAATCATACTTAGATGCTTTCATTGCAATAAGGTGGACATTTTAGGCAGCGTCACCCTTTTTCACAACTCCAGGGGGTGCCTCTCACTATAGAATGTTGTGCAGCTGGACTGATAGAGGACACCAACAGAGAGGAGATAGAAAAGGGTTGCCATGCCCTCTGGTTTCCTAGCAAATGCGTTGCCCAGCAAGATCTAGGTATATCCACACTTGAGTAGTGGAACAGCTCTCCTCTCTGGGGTCCATGTAACATTTTTTTAACTGAAGTGGACATGGAGAGTTATTTCTCACAGTCCATGGCCAAGCCCTCTGTGAAGATGAAAAAGCAACTCTTTCAGCAAGGATGTCCTCTCCCCTTTTCATAACCTTTCTTTTAACAGAGTTTGTAGGCTAACAATGATTCTACATACAACTCCCAGCCCTTGCTTGGGAGAAATTCCTCTAGATCTTGGGCTCTAAACCTTGGCTGCACATTCCAGTTACCTGGGGGGTCCCATCCCAGAGGTTCTGATGTTATTGTTCTGAGCTGCCCACCTAACGATCGAGATTTTCCAAAGCTCCTCTGGTGCTTTGAATGCACAAAGTTGTGGGCCACTGTAGACTGGTGCACTCCAATCTGTAGTGTCCATCAGAATCTCCTGGGCTTCTGATTCAGTAGGTGAGGGGTGGAGCCCAAGAATTTGCATTTCTAACAAGTTCCAGATGATGTTGATGCTGCTGGTTCAGAGACCGCTGCTTTAGAAGACCAGAGGTCTCAACTAGTGACTGCACATTAAACCATACTGCCTATGCCCCAACCCAGACTAATTGAATCCAAATCTTTGGGAATGGGGCCCCAGGCATCAGAATTTCTTTAAAGTTCCCCAGGTGATTCTACTGTACAGCAGGTTGAGAACCACTGCTAAACAAAAGGATAAATTTCTTGCTAAAAAGATTAAAGAGACATACATCAAGGTTGCAGCCTTCCTAGATGATGGAACTTCAAGCGTGCGATTCACATGTGTTATTCATTCTTTTCCAGGGCCCACTGGCAGTGTACTTTATAGGATGATGGTTCACAAACCTTGACCCAGCAGCCTAAAAATAGTGGTCAGCATCCATGAGTCTCATCTGTTATGACAAAAAGGAAAAACAGTTACATGGCCCCATGCCAGGGCAACCCAGGCCTACGTAGGGATGTGCCCAAGGATGTCCCTACCAGGCCATTCCACAAGTTTTCCTATTGAAAAGGAGCACACAGGCAAGATATATCTTGTAGCCTGGAATTTCCTCATAAATGTGACTTTTGTGTCTCTTCTTCTTATATTGAATTTATAAATGAAGCGAATTTACAAATTAAGGTATATCCTTATTCAGTTCAGCTCATTGGGCCCAAGATGATGTTCTGACTGTGAGGATTTGTAACCCAAATAGCAGGCCACTCTGCTTTGGCTAATAGGATAGTATTATAAGTAGGGCCTCTGCATCCTTGTAGCAGAGGACCTCAGAGAAGCACTGAAAATGAGATGAGATATTTAAAAATTGGGATCAGCAGGATTGGAAATGGATTGGACATCTGGGATGGGGCTCCTAGGTGGATGGTGCGATGCTTGGTGAGATGGGGAGCACTAAAAGAGGAGAGAAGGAATGTGGTTGGGGTAGGATGCAGTTTAGATGTGAAGAAAGACATCTAACTGGACATGGTGGAAAATAGAGTTTGGATGTTTGGAGGTTCAAAAGGAGACCAGAGATACAGGTCTTAAAGTCTGGAGCTAAATGTGGTAGATGTGGTCATGAGAGTAGTTGTGGTCATCCAGGAGAGTGAAATGAGGAAGGGACATAGGACAGAGCCCCAAGGAATTCCAACATTCTAAGTAAGGAACCTAAAAAGAAAGAAGTGGAGTGTTAGGAAAAAAAATCCGAGAGCCTCCACAAAGCGTAATGAGTGAGTGTTTCTAGAAGGAAGAGGTAGAACAGTGCTCCCTGTCACCTCCCAATTTCCTCTCCACCTACCAGAGTCCCAACCACCCATCAGTGGGTGGGCCATTCCCCAAGTCTGTGCATTATTTTGTACCTAGATTGTCACACGAGGATGTGAATTCCTCCTTCCAGCTCTGCTGTAGACAGGATGATTTGGTGTAGAGCTGCTACCCATTGGATGAAATGTTTCTCCACCACATAGTTCTCCTCAGACTCTCTTTCTGCTTAGGTGGTCCCAGGAGAGGAGCCAGGTGCCTATCCTTCTGGACATTTATTTTTCAAGCACAGACACACCACCCACATACATAGAAATTGTAGTAGGTAGGGATTCACATGTTATTGCCACATATATTATCACCAAAAAAAGGAAAAAATTGTGATTTCCCTTGCTCACCATAGGGCTCATTCATTGACTAATTCTTATTTTGGTCTATAAATCTTATTGTTTTTAACACGTATTTGTTATTCCCCAATACGTTGGTGCAAACAATGTCAAATTTTTAACTTCACTAAATGAAATTAAATCTGTCTAAAAGTACTACATATTGAGATTGGTGAAAAATCCAGCCTTAATCAATTTTGTGGACTCCTCCATCTTCCTTACATAGAACAAAGCACCAAGTCTTCCAAGGGCTCAGAAAATGAGGGTAGAGCCTTAGCCTTCAACCCCAGTGGTTGCCATTACTATACTCCTTGGCCATTCAGAGATGGCATCTCTACACATTACATGCCAAGCTAAGTCATGGGGCATCTTCCTCCAGGCTCCCACAGCTGCAGAGCTCCGTTATCCCTGGCATTCACCTGGTCATCTGTGTCCATGGTCTTTCCAACATAGAGGTAGTGTCACATAGAGGCGCTCCAGGGACAGAATTCATAGTCCAAGAACTTATTCCCACACCCTTCCACTCATGGGGAACTTATGGCTGAGAAAATGGGATGCAATGATATCTCAGATGTTTATTCCATCATATTAAATTCTCAGTAAATCACTCTTCAATGAGTTGATTTAGATGATGCAATGTAGACAACTAGAAAAGGCACTGTATTGAGCCAGGTTTTGCCAGCAGAATAATAAATTTCTCAGATCACCTTTAATTCATCCTTTTTTTGTTGCTAGCCTTTCTGTGTCAGAATCTTTGTCTTCATAAAGAAAATTTTTCTGGTCTAAAACACAGCCACTTCCTCTTGAACTTTGCCGCAGACCAGGATGTCTTCTTCTGGAATCTCTGCTCAATGTTCTTCCTTAATATTTTGAGGAGAGAAATTTACAAGTGTCACCTTGGTACACAAGCAAAGGCCATGTGTTCTAGAGTTCCAATGTGTTGACCTTCCAGGGTCTCACTAATCCCAGTGATGTCTACATTATCTCCCCTTCCAGCCGCAAAACTCAAATGTATGTGAGGTATGCCAAAGAAGGGGACTGCTGTTCTGCTGTGATACTTGTTCAAGATCCTTTCATAAGGAATGCTACATCCAGCCTATAGATGCTAACAGGTCAGTGAGACCCGGCCCCCTCTTGCCCTTCCTTCTTGTGGCACAGCTCCTCCCACCATGCACACTCAGCCTGCAAGTTGTATGTGTCTTGCTGGTTGTATGTGTCTTGCTGCAGAGGGAGCAGTATTCTTAAGTATTAGGATCCAGAAGTATGATCCAGAGCTATTTAATGGTGCTGGCAGCAGCAGATTAATGGGAAGCAAAAACTCTTCAAGTGGTTTTGAGATGTAATATCAAGAGGTGTCACCACCATCTTCCCCACTTGGTTCTCAGACCCCTGCACTTTGATGGGGCGATGACACTATACATTGGCTTCTGGTTTAAAGCATATTCCACCTGCCATGGGAATATCACAAAGTTGACAAAGCTGGAGCTGTGATGAGCCTTCAGAAGGCCATCCCAGCAGTCTATCAAGTCAGCTGACCTTGGGTCACAGGGGACATGATAAGACCCTGAATTCTGAGGGTATGAGCCCACTGCTGTATTTCCTTTGCTGTAAAATGTATCAGAGGTGATGGTATGTAGGATAACATGGAGATTGATAAGGCAATTCTATAAGTGGTGGTGTGGGCAGAGGACAACGTCTACCAGGAATGTGTCTGTCCTTATGAGGACAGAGCATTGTCCTTCCATAATGGGAAGAATCTAATGTAATCCACCTACTCTCAGGTAGCTCCCAGGGAATGGTGCCATTTCAGGAATTCAGCATAAACATCTGCAGTTGGGCAATCTGCAGAGGCAGAAGACAAATCCACTTTTCTGTTGAGCCCACATATATTCTCCATCCCTGCACCATGGGCACTTTGTAATGGGCCTCTTGAGCAAGCACTGGGGTGGCCCAGGAGAGAGGCTAAATGACATCTCTAGGATGAATCATTGTATCCACCTGATTATAAAGAGTCTCTCAGCATAGAGAGCCTGGTAGAGAAGAGCGGAGAATGAATCTAGCGGCAAAAGGAAGATATCTGACACTCAGTTGGTCGATTTCCCTTCCAAGAAGTTTCTGCAGCACAGATTCTAGGTATAGATATGTCAGTGCCAGAGGGGAGGATGCCTATAGCTTGTGCCCTGTGCTTATTCAGCAAAGTGGATAAATGAGAGCTGGATTCCTAATTTTTACTATGGTCTGATGGCTTGTTGAGGCCCAAGATTCCAATGCTTAAGGCACAGACTTCCAATACTCGACTCTGCAGACAGGCCCATTACCAAGCTCACAGTGGGTCATATGGGAAGCCTAAGTTTTGAGGTGGATGAGAGTCCGTCACCCACCATGGCACTTCACTCAACAGACTGTCAGCCCTGCTACCACTATTGGTGGGAGGGGTGTCTTTGGTGATTGAGCCCAAAAGGGGCTCTAGTGCAGAGGCGCCTCCAAGAGAGAAGTTGGATACAAGGTGGAAACCATTAGTCATTCTTAAACAGAAGACTTTAGCAGCTATAGGAATGGTGACTGATTCACAGAGGACCTGCCCTTGCTCACATTATGTTCTACCTCTCAGGAACCCATGGAGTTGCCTCTTCTGCAGGGTAAAGTTTATTCAGGAAAGGTTCTCAGACAGCCAACGACGTCATCAGGAATCTGAGGTCCTGAAGAAGCAGATGCTGTATGAGGAGAAGTTGGTGAGTTGACAGGTGAACCTGAAGCCTCCTCCTTTGTGTTTAGTTGGAAGAAGAAGCACAGTCTTGTAGGGGGTTGGAAGAATGGTGCCCAAAGGCAAACTGCTGTCCCTTTGCTGTGCTTTGATCACATGACCTAACACCAAAATTAGTATTCCAAAGAAAATCTCCATTCCATGTTTGTGTCAGAGTCCACAAGTTTGGGAGTTGTGTGTTCTGTCTGAGTATGCATAAGGGTTCATTCTCTCCAAGCTGCTTTTCACTTAAGATCTCCTCGATCTTTTGCAGAAATGTGAGTTCCTCCTCTTGAAAATCTATTGCTGCTCAGAAAGCCCCTTTTTTGCCTCAGAACCATACTATGTAAGTAACAGCAACAAAGCCCAAAACTGACATTTGTCGAATTTGTCATATGAATCCAATGGGTACAAGTTGTCATTCTCTTTGCCTTGTTGATGGATGTCCTAGTCAACTTAGTCAGCCCTTAGCCACTTAGGCTGCTATAACAAAATACCATAGACTGGGTGGCTTAAGCAACAGAAATTTATTTCTCACAGTTCTGGAGACTAGAACTCTGAGATCAGGGTGCCAGTGTGGTCGGGTTCTGGTGAGAGCACTCTTTTCAGGTTGCAGACTGCCAAGTTCTCGTAGTATCCTCGCACAGTGGAAAGAGAGAGAAAGAGCTCTCTGGGACCTCTTTTATAAGGGCACTAATCCTGTTCGTGAGCGCTCTACCCTCATGACCTAATTATCTCCCAAAGGCCCCATTTCCTAATACCATCACATTGCAGGTTAAGATTTCAGCATACGATTTGGGGGGGAGTGGGGGACACAAACACTCAGTCCGTAACAGTGGAAGTCTGTAGAAGGTAGAACCATGCTAAGAGCCTGCCCTTTGGGACTTTTGTCAACAGAGTAAAGAGGCATCCTGGGGCCAGAGGAAGCCCATGTGGTTAAATAAAATCAAGAAAAAGCTGAATAAGAAGATGTACCTCCGAGTGGAGGGCTTTGTGCGGGATGTGCGCCTCATCTTTCAGAACCACAGGGCATTTTACAAGGTAAGTGGCCCTACTTGCACCCCTTTTTCTTTCAATTAGGTCACTTTGCCTTTCAGTTTCTTGTATCAGGTAAACGTTACAACTTCTCTCATGATGTGGCAAGCCCACAGGAGTAAAAATTCTAGAAGTATTCTAAAAGCCCTATACTCTACAGAAGGGAAAATAACAACAAACCACAAGGTGTCATTGCAAACATTACCCTAGGACCTCAGAGCTTACTCATCTCTAGATAGTGGATTTCCCCCCATAGACAACAGTAGACTGCAGACCTATTCCCTTCCACAAGAGATAGAAGTGCATTTTAAAGGCAACCAGTGTTTCTCTTCTCTAAAGGAAGACATCAAATCAAATTTCTCAAATTTCAAAATCTTGTATTTCTTTACATCCGAATTTCCTAGTGCTGTATCAAAAAGTTAACAGAGATTACCTCCAGGGATGAGAATGAAGGAAAAAAGGTGACACCATGAATTTGCCTTAGACATTTCTGTACTATCATATTGTTACAAGTAATATGTGCTGTGTTCAAAATCAAAAAACCAAAATTTTGTAAAATTAAATCAATCAATATATTTCTGATGAAAAATTAGATGGCAATATAGTACTATTTTTGCTTCTCTGTCTTCCGGATAAAGAGAAATGATCAAGCTATCAGGGAACGTAAGCTACTCTTAACTGGATTAATTCTCAGTTGACGTTTGGGATAGTCTAAAATGAAGCCCCGTATGATCTGAAACTTTGGGAATCTACACTCATTGGCAATGGCTATTATTGTTTTTGTCTTTCCTTTTTCAGGACCAGAAGTTCGTCAGGCTGGGACTTCAACTAGAGGCCAAATTTGAGACTAATTTCAAAAACATTTTTGCAATTCAGGAAATAAGTAAAAACAGTTCTCAGTTTGAGCCCATAGTTTGATAATATAGCCCATTTCTGTTTCCCCCTTCAGAGCTTCCAGCAGCTACATGATAACGTGCCTATGGTCCCACTATACATACAACATCATATTATACTTCTTTTTCAAACTTATTTTGTTGCCATATCTGCTCATTTATTTTTCTAAATAAAATTTTAAATTGTCAAGTTCTCTTATTGAATAATTTGGAGTGAAATTTATGATAGAAAATATGGAGTCTTTCTCTAAGGGATCATATCATGTGCTTCCATTTATTTGGATCTTTTAGTGGGTTCTTGTAAAGTTTTCTCTTCTTTTCTCCTCCCCACACAGGACTTATTCATGTCTTTTTTTTTTATTCTCAGATATTTTATACTTTTTGCTTGTTATTGTGAAAGTGACATTTTCCCATTATATTTTGTTATTATTTTGATTATTGTCTGTTATAGAAAGCTATTGTTATTTATATATTTTGGTCACTGATTACCTTACTGAATACTTGATAGCATCCTTTTGTGTGTGTGTGTGTGAGGAAGATCAGCCCTGAGTTAACATCCATTGCCAATCTTCCTCTTTTTGCTGAGGAAGATTAGCCCTGAGCTAACATCTGTGCCCATCTTCCTCTATTTTGTATGTGGGATGCCACCACAGCGTGGCTTGATGAGCAGTGTCTCAGTCCGCACCCAGGATCTGAACTGCGTACCCTGTGCCACCGAAGCAGAGCACGTGAACTTAACCACTATGCCACCAGGCCGGCCCCAGGATAGCATCCTTTTTCGCCTCATACCCAGTGGCATCAGGAGTCCCGTCATGGGTGCATAGGATTTCCAATTTTCAATTCACAGAATCATAATTGGTATGACTGATGGAAGCATTCTTCACTTGGGCACTAAAACTTCTGACAATTCTTGGTTCTGTAAGGGAATGGCTCTGCTGCGGCATCCTGGTGACCTTGCATGTCTCTATATAGACCACATAGGCAAGACTCAACTGCAGACGATCTGATCTAATTAGATCTTGGCAGGATGCGCTGTGATCCACTCAGAACATGAGAACGTGGGAGGCTTGTGAGGAGCTGCTACAAGGCCGTTTCCCACTCACCACCTTATCTTCTAGAGGCTATTAGGATGTACTCTCTCCTCGTGCTCCAAGTTCTGATGAAGTATGAGGACTTCTGCCTCTTTCTTTAGGGTACAGCTGCAGGCTGTAAAACTGCTTAGCTGCAACATGAATGTGTACTATCACTCATTATAAGTCATCCACATCCCCTTTTGCTGTGGTGCTACTCTGTGGGACAAAGGACACGGAACCTCTGCTCTTCTTGCTTTTGCTGTGTATGTAAGTAGTAAACTGTCTGACTCTAAAAAGGGCACATGATTTCTTTACCAGCCAAATCCGTCAGCCTTGTTTGACAGGTTCCCAGACCTAATATATTCTTATTTTGGGAAAAAGAGTACCACATATTGGTAGCTGGTTCAGAGCATACACTACACCCTTCAGGGAAGTACTTCAACCTCAGAAGTTATTGTCTCCAGGTGTTTCCAAAGTTGAGTCTCCAACACAACATTTCTCCATTCAATAATGAAATTTTGTTGTTGGAGTGGATAATTTTGAAGATTAAATGAATTTGTAAAGTGTTCTAAATCGTGTCTGAGACACACGAATGTATCATTGTGGCTACACATAGTAAGGATCCTGTATTCAAAATGATAATTCAAACAAAAGGGAGCAATTCTAGTTCTCTGCTCAGCTAGCTGATGGAAATTGAGACAAATGGAGGCCATAAAAACCAAGCTTGATATGTTTCTCAGCCTTTCCCAGAGAGACCTATGTCTATTTTCCAAGGTAACAATGCTCTGGAAAATGGAAAATTCCCGTGTCCTTAAAGGATCATTGAACACTGACCCTCATTTAATTCTGGGAGCCTGAATTGCCATGATGACCCGTCTAACAGAAGAGGTTTGGGTAACAGATGCAGTTTCGATCTCATGGTAGACCTAGTCAGAAAAGTTTCTTATTACAATTGACGAAATTATTTAGAGATGATTCAGAAACAAACGTGTCCAAATCTCTATCTCCTGTTACTCATGTTATGACTGCAAGGGGGATGGTCTCCTAAACAAGTAAAAAGTTCAGGGATCCTGCCAGAAAATAAACTTTTTGGAACTACAGTCCTCCAGAAAAACTGATCAATCTCATCGCAGACCAAGCAAAATATTTTATCCTTGATGCGCTCTCTTGGAGCATATTCTAGTTCCAGTCTTTGCCTCCTAATAAAGTTATATTTTTCATTTAGATTTATTGTTTAAATTTTCATTTTTCTTTTCTTTTTAACTTCTTTTTTTTGTTTGCTTTATTGGGTTAGGTGGATTCGGTAATGTGGCTTCATTCTTCCATCATTATCTAGAATTAGTTTTTTTCCAGTCTACCATTTTTATTTGTGGCAGAGGCAGTAGTGTTCACCAGATATCACAAATATCCCCCTAAATTTTCTAGCCCCTTGCATTATTAGGCAGGGCCAAATGACTCGTACATTGACCAATGGGTATGATCAGAAGTGGCATATGTCATTTTCAGGCTTATTCACAGAAGAGCAGTGAGAATTCTCCATGCACACTTCTTCCTGCCACATTGATTATGGAGGCCTTGTTTTGAGATGACAGAGCCTAAATGTTGAAACAGGCTGGAACATGTATTCACTACCACCCTAGAGGGGCTCCCAGATCCACTGTGGGCTTTGAGTAAGCAAGAAGTAAACTTTGTTGTGTAAGCCATTGGAACTTGAGGGTTGTTTATTGCCACAGCATAGCCTCGCAAGACCTGGCTAGTATGTGTTGGGAACAACAGAGAAACACTCGTAGGAGTGGATTTTTAGGGTGTTGGGCCAGAAAGGGTAGAATATAAGATTGGATAATGGAGACTTCATTGACATGGAAGCCCTCTCCTCTGCATCAGGGTATAAGGGACTTGCGAGGGCATCTGGAGCTGGTCCTATCTGTGACCGAGTTGGCTCCTTGAAACTTGGAAAACAGGATGGCATTTTATAAATGAAGTGGAGAAGCCCCAAATGCCTTGGCATATTATTGAAGAAGGAGTCAGAAGGCTCAGGGAGGTAAGAAGGTTAAAATGGGCATATTACACAAGATCAGAAAACATGCCATATGGCTTCATCACCCATATAAGCCCAGAGGACATTCCCTTCACTAAAGCAATAAGAAATGCCTTGGTGTGGGAGTGCTGGCATTTTTGAGAACCTCACTTTTGCCTGTCCTCTGTAAACTAGAGTTGACACTAGGAGATGGTACCACATAATGAAACTTCCTAGTGTGAATAGGGCTGATAGAATTCCAGAAGGGAAATGCCAGATAGTACCACAGAATCAACAGGGGCAAGGTGGATGTAATTACAAAAATGGGCAGCAAAGGCAGAATGGCAATTAGGACACCTTGACTCATGGGCATCTAAGACAACACAACCACAGAGTTCCAAGAAGAAAGAAAACTTACATCCACTACCACAAAGGGAAACTGAGATTACTCAGCCAGTTTTTAGATCTAACCTAATTCATGGACTTGGAACCCACTCATTGAAAGACTCTATATGCCACAAGTACATACAACAAATAATCCCCAATCTTCTCCAAAGAGACCTGAAGGGCCTTTTACTAGAGTACCTGTGCAGTTGCAAAAGGGGAATGCCAGTCCATTCACAGGCTGTTGAATAGAGGGTTCAAGGAGACAGTGATAGAAAGAGACTCAAAACACCATCATGACTGTAACAATAAATTCTTTTTCTTTTTTAATGTATATATTGCAAAATGATTACCACAACAGGGTTAGTTAACACATCCATCACTTCACATAATTACAAATTTGTATGTGTGGTGAGAATATTTAAGATCTGCTCTCTCAGCAACTTTCACATATATAATACAGTATTGTTAACTATAGTCACCACAGTGAATATTAGATCCCCAGAACTAATTCATCTTGTGGCTGGAGGTTTGTACTTTTTAACTAATATCTCCCCATTTCTCCTACCCCGTGGCCCCTGGCAACCACCATTCTACTCTCTATTTCTGGATGTTTTTTAGATTCTGCATATAAGTGAGATCACACAGTGTTTTGTCTTTGTCTGGCTTGTTTCACTTAACATAATACCCTCAAGGTCCATTCATATTGTCACAAATGGTAGGATTTCCTTATTTTGATGGCTAAATAATATTCTATTGTATAGTATACCACATTTTCTTTATCCATTCATCCATAAACAAACACTTAGGTTGTTTCTCTGTCTTAGCTGTTATGACTAATTCTGCAGTGAGCATGGGAATGCAGAGACCTCTTCGAGATCGTGATTTCCTTTCCTTTGGATAAATACCCAGAAGTAGGATTGCTGGATTGTATGGCAGTTCTCCTTTTAATTTTTTTTAAGAACCTCTATATTGTTTTCCATGGTGGCTGCACCAATTTACATTCCCACCAACAGTGGACAGTGTTCCCTTTCCTCCACATGCTCACCAACACTTGCTATCTCTTGTCTTCTTGATAATAGCTGCTCTAACAGGTTTGAGGTAAGATCTCATTGTGGTTTTGGTTTGCATTTCCCTGACGACTAGTGATGTTGAGCACCTTTTCATGTACCTGTTGGCCTTGTATGTCTTCTTTAGAAAAATGTCCATTCAGTTCCTCTGCCCATTTTGTAATTGGATTGTTTGGGTTCTTTTGCTATCGAGTTGTATGAGTTTTGTGTATATTTTAGATGTTAACTCCTTATCTGATTTATGGATTGGGAATATTTTCTCCCATTCTGTAGGTTGTCTCTTCACTTTGTTGATTTTTTTTTTCTGTGCAAAAGATTTTTAGTTTAAAATAGTCCCACTTGTTTATTTTTGTTTTTGTTGCTTGCATTTTTGGTGTTATATCCAAAAAATCGTTGCCAAGACCAATGTCAAAGAGCTTTTCCCTACATTTTCTTATAGGAGTTTTATGGTTTCAGGTCTTACATTTAAGTCTTATTCTAT